CCCAGTTGATGTGTATTTATGTCATTTCAAATTTTTTATACCAAGTGTCAACCTTTCTTTTATGATTTCTGAATTTCCTGTCTTGCTTAAGAAGGCCTCCCCATATTTATAAAAACATTCTTCCAAATTTTTCTGTGATACATTTGCTTTTATGTTTACTGTTTTCATCTACCTAGAATATATTTAGCCCATACACATTTTAGCAATTCTTTTTACCATTATCAACACTACCCCCAATATCTGCTATAGATTCCATATAATGTGGTCACCAAAGTTCTGTCTTATTACTTTACTGAAAAGACAATCTTCTGTCTACAGTAGTACCCTCTTAGGGTTTCCTGTAAAGACAAGAACTAATTTATCAAAGGACTACTGGCCCAGTCCTCACTTTAGCTCCTCTAAGGCTGCAGAAGGGCTTGACTGTTGAGTGCTTTGATGTCACAAGCCATCTCACACTGTCACATCTCTACCACCTGTTGTTGTTGTTGTTATGTGCTGTCGAGTCAGACCCAACTCATAGCGACCCCTCCTTGGATTTCCGAGGCAGTATCACTACAGAAGTAGACTGCCCCATCTTCCTTCTGAGGAGTGGCTGGTGGGTTTGAACCACCAGCCTTCTGGTTAGCAGTCAAGTGCCTTAGGCACTATGCTACCAGAGCTAGTACCCTTGATATGAGAAACTAGTTATTTAGCCTATCTTGGGTCTCGGTTCTCTCTTTTTTCAATGGAATGACCCCAATCTCATTACTTGTTGTAAAGATAAGAGGTGGTGTGTGGAGAGCACTTCAAATGGCACCCAGCAAGGTGTGTTTCCTCTCCCATTCAGGAGAGCTCCCTCCTGACATGTTTAAAGGGTTTTAAAGAGCTCCTTTAAACCCTCCAGAACATTTCTGCATTTTCATTGTTGGGTGTGAGGTGTGTCTGGTCACAACATCAGACTGAGCTAGCGGAATTTGAGTCTACTTGATGGCAGTGAGTTTGGAAGCTCTGATAGCATAGTGCCTAAGGCACTTGACTGCTAATCAGAAGGCTGGTGATTCAAACCCACCAGCCATCCTTGGAAGGAAGGTTGGGCAATCTACTTCCGTAGTGATACTGCCTCAGAAACCCAAGGAGGGCTTGCTATGAGTTGGGGCCGACTCGACAGCACATAACAACAACAACAACAGTGGATAATCATTCTGATAATCATTAATCCTTTGGTCATTTATCTAATTCTCTCACTGGACTTTCTTTGAACCTCAAAAAGGTAAGGACAGTGTCTTCCTCCTATTTCCATAACCTTGAGGCCTGTCACGTGCCAGGGGCTCAAAGAATGTCTATTGAGGTACTTTGAGGGTCCAGGTAGCATTATGACTTTCGTAGAAGTTTGCTGTAGATGCTCCCTGGTGTGAGACCATGTGGCCTGTTCCTCCCCAGGTGTGTGCTCTAACCTCAAGTGCTTCAGCTATGGGATAGAAGCCTATGAAACTTGCAAGAAGAGGTCTCTGGCCAGAGATATAATGGACGAACAGAAAAAGGTTCAGGAAGCTGATCTAGTGATATTTCAGGTTCGTGTCCTCTCTGATATGTATATTGAATTAGAGTGAACCTATGGGCAAACTCCTTGCAAATAAGTTTGTGCTCCTCAAAGTGGTGCTGAATTCTAACACATTTGCATACATATCTATGTCTACTTGGATAAGAAGATCCATGTAGCCAATATCACCCATTTAAAATGCACTGACCCCCCCCCCAGTACATATTCTTGAAGACCTCTCCTTTAATCCAGTAGTCCATAGAATGTCTCAGTCATGCAGATCCTGTTGCTTTCCCTCGCCTCCTCTGCCCACCCCAGACATGCAGGGGCTGCTCAAAATCAAATTTCTCTACACGGTGTTTGTCCAGACAATTGGGGCCAGAGCAACTGCTCCCTAGAATCTCATGATCACTGGGAGAGGCACCTTCTTTCCTCTTCTCTCTCTCTGGTTCCTCACCACTCCCATTCCTTGTATTCACTCACAAATTGTCCAGGACGTGGTACCACCCCAGAAAGGACTAGCCCACTAAATCACCACTGTTGCTCCAACTCATCCAGGCCACTGGATGCTAGAGCTGAGCAGGTGTGAAGTTGTGTGTATGATTGTAAGCCTGGGGCAAGCAGACACATGTGCTTTTTGGGAATCATTGGGGTGACAGAAATCCAAGACAAGCTGGGAGAAGGGGATCTTGTTATAAGGTCTCTGCTCATTTGGGCCAGCTAGACCCCAAGACATACCATGGCAGGGCTCCAGGAGCAGCTGAAACCCGCAAGCCTATCTCCTGGGATTAACACCGCTGCTTCTCTGCACACTCTTTGTTCTTCCCTTACTGCACACCAGTGGCCAGATTCTTTAGATCCCAAGCCCACAACTTCCATGGGGGGAATTTGATTGATCCAGACCATCTCTGGATTCCAGCCTTGCTTGAGAGCAGGAAGCATCTGGGAGAATAAGACACTTTCTGCTGGGGCTAGTCTACCATGTGGGTGTGAGAGGAAGGGCCAGGTTGTAGACAAAATGGCATGTCCAGAAGATGAAGGTCACAAACGCCTCAAGTGATCAACATTGTGGGAGGAGGGACTACTTCCCCTTCTTCTTCACCAAACTCAGGCTTGATCTACCCACCCCTCATCAGCTGTCCCTTCCTTTACCAGATGATGTAGAGTGGCTGATCTGGTCAAAGTGCAGGATATTCCTTATCCTGGTGACACTGAGGGGCTGACAGTGCCTGGATGACTGATTACCTGCATAGTAGTGGCCATGCCAGGAGAGTGGAGTTTACCAAGACTAACCCCTTTGAATCAGGGCTGATGGTCCTAGCAGGACCATGCTCAGGCCCTTCCTGTTATCACCCTGATTCCAAGGACTGCCAGCCCAAGGGGAGCTGCCTTTCCTTCTCCCACCTCCTCTACCCATGGAACTGGCCAGATGCAGTGAGCCACAGCCTATTTTTCCTGAAGTATTCTTCCTTTTCTCCACACCCTTCACTTCTCTTCCTCCACCATTCCTCTTTTCCTGGTACTTTTCCCAGAAGATCTGTACTGTCAGTTTATTTTCTTATTCCACACTAGTAGACCTTTCATTCTTTGCCATTGCTACTCATATTATTGTTATCATGTCCACCATTTCCCAAGTGCTTATTCTGTGTCAGGCATGGAAGCATGCCATGGCATCCTCACAGTAGTACTCCAAGTAGGAACTATGTTGTTGTTGTTGTTGTTATGTGCCATGGAGTTGCACTCAACTCATAGTGACTTCTCCTTGGGTTTCTGAGGTGGTATCTCTACAGAAGTCGATTGCCCAACCTTCTTTCTGAGGAGTGGCTGGTGGGTTTGAACTGCCAGCCTTCTGGTTAGCAGTCAGGTGCCTTAGGCACTATGCTACTAGACCTCCCAGTAGGAGCTTCCACCTCTGGTAACATATTATTGTCTATGTCTGTCTCCCTTTATAGATTATACTGTTGGATAGTGTTAGGGCCTGCACAGGTACCAGAATGGACTTAAGGAAGCTCTTATTGCTGGTGTGTCTGTTCAGAGAATAAAGTATCAAAGTCTATGGCTTCTCAGAACCTAACTCCATCTGACTCCAAGATGCTAGCATCTGCCCCCTGCCTGGCATGGAAAGAGACCCCACTCTTTTCTACATTTTCCTGTTGCCCGCCCCTTCCCCCCACACACACACCTTGATTGGCTCAGTCACAGGGATTGCTGCCATACAGCCAGCATCCCACAGGGCTTCCCATTTTCTCCCTGCCTGCTCAGGGCCCAACGTTAGGGGGCTGTCACTGGGAACACAACCCTCTGCCCACCCTCCACCCCATCATCACTGTACCCACACTGAGCCTCAGAGCAAAAAGAAAGAAATGTTCCCAATTCATGCTGCCTACATGGGTGTGTTCATCCGCCCCACCACCACTGCCAGGAAAAAGACCAAGTCAGCAAATTTTGTTCTGAATCCTCAGTGAGAATAAAGGGGGAGATTCTGAAACAGTCATAGTATTTGCTTCTCCCTGTGTCCCACCCCAGTTCCCACTGCAGTGGTTCAGTGTGCCAGCCATCCTGAAGGGCTGGATGGACAAGGTGCTGAGCCGAGGGTTTGCCTATGAAACCACGGAGTCTAGCAGAATCACTTTGCTCAAGGTACATGCCCTAGAACCAGAACTGCTGGAGTGTTGTGGCATGTGAGTATGTGGGGTGTGAGTATATGGGGTGTGAGTGTGTACCCATGTGTGTGAGGCTTATGTATATGAGTGTGTGTATTGGGGGGCTCATCAAGTTCTGTTCCTAATTTGTTTTCTTTTACCATTCCTGATTGCACACTAATGTATGCAGAGTCACACATACAAGGCATGGATGGGGAATGCATAGTTTCTGAAGACATGGTACCTTCACTCTAGTGAGGGATATAGACATGCCCACACTAACTCCATCTACCAACAAGAAGGGATGGGTGTCATGTGTCAGGGTGGGTTGAGGTGGCCTCACAGGAGGTAAGGCTCTGGCTCCACAGAAGGGGTTATAACCCATGATGAAGAGCCAAGGCCAGGATACATGCAATCTTTTCTCTGGGCTTCGGACTCCTACTTGATAGAACAAGGTAATGTGATTTCTGCCCTGTAGTGTAAGGGCTACAAGAGCTCTGTTAGAAGGTCAACAATTGGGAGCTATGGGTTTATCACTGATATAAGTTCTTACCAATAAGAGGATTGTTTTATATTCAAAAGGCCTCAGAGAATAAGTGCTGTAAGGAAAGTCTGAACACCTCTGGTCCATCTTGGACAGTGAGATGGTGGCCCAAGCACCAGGCTCCACTCAGCCCTTGTATCAGCCCTGTGGGATCTATACCTCAGCCAGGCTCATTTCACGGATGGCTCCCTTGGATACCTGGTTACTATCAGAAAGCCAAGCACATTCACATACTCAGCCCACTCTAGTGTCTCCTGTTGGGAAATAGTTGTCATCTGTGGCTAGCCTGCCAGAGACAGGACGTTCCTTAGAGGAAACTGACCTCAGATATTCTCTCATGGTCATTGTAAGCCCTTTAGGCATTAGTATGTACCTTCTGTTCCTGAGTCTATACACATTGTTCTCTCCTCTCCAGGGTAAGTTGGCGGTATCATTAACCAGAGGCGACCAGGTATGGAATGACATGAAGGATTCAGTCAATGCAGATTCACAGGCCTATCTGTGGCCCCTGCCAGTAAGCAGACACCACAAGAGTCCACTGCACCCAAGACCACTGCATGCCCTCCACAGTCCCTCCCCTATGTGTAGAAAGGAGACTTCACGTAAGCCTGAAGCTCACACCATTTTGAGTTGACTTGGATCTAGAAAACTAAATATTTTGCCCTTTTAAATGCTTTATTTAGCAGCCAATAGAATACATTATAATCATATATATTCTATTGATACTGTTTGGATGAAAGCTAAGCCTACCTGGTGAACCTGACTTCTGTACTTCTGTTTTGTGGGTGGTGACTGAGAGAACTGTAGGGTAGCAGTATGTGTGAATGTGCATTCATTAGTATGTGAGCCATGTATATATATATAGTCAGTATCTTGGGTCTGAAGTGATGGGTCCAGGTACTACTTAGTCAAGCAACACTGCCCTGACCCCATGCACAGGGAGAGAGGCAGCCTGCATTTCTGAAGGTTTCCCTCTGGGTTTCTGCTGGCCAGTCAGCCCTACCATGAGAGGGGGTCCAGGCACCCAGAGACCATGCCCTCCCTATCTTCACTACCCTCCAGCTCTCCGGGACTAGGATTTTCCCTACTCAACAGCCCAGGCCTCCTTCCCATACCAGGTGGACCAGACCATGTACACACCAAGGCACAAGGAGATAGGGGGAAACAAGCAGCAGAAAAGACTTGTTCTGAAAAACAGGGTGTCCTTGAGAGCAGTGCCTATTGGTGAGGTCAGAGTTGGGGGTAGGAAAGAAGAGTTCAGGCCCCAGGCCAGGGCCTTGCCTACCTCTCCCCAAATTCTGAGGAGACTGGGAGCCCAAGGCACAGCCTGTCTCTAGGTCAGTGTGAAAAGATGTTTGCCAAGGACATAATGTGTTGAATCATTAGAACACCTGTCTGGGACCCACAGTTGAGAAGGAGAGGCCCCACAAGTGTACAGGCTTTATAGGAAGGAACACAAAGAGAGGAGTCTGATATTTCTAGGGAAAAAGTAGTCTTTGAAAGGATAGTGAGTCAAATTAGTGGTGCTCCATTGAAAGAAATGATACCTTCTAAGCTTGAGCTTCCTTCTTCTCAGTCCAACTAGTCTTACATATCGCTAGCCAAGCTTCAATTCTTCCAGTTTTATAAAGCCTTCTATATCTAGTTTTCAAAAATACATGGTGTAGAAAAAAAATTAAATGTGAAATGTAAAAATAGAAAGTCCCTTAGTCTCACTCTCAGGAATAATTGCGTAACTCACTGTCATTGAGTTGATTCCAACTCATAGCAACCCCCATTGGGTTTCGAAGGCTGCAAATCTTTACAGAAGCAGATCACTTCATCTTTCTTCCATGGAGTGGCTAGTGGATTTGAACCAATTGACCTTTTGGCTAGCAGCCAAATGTTTTAACCACTGTACCACCAGAGCTCCTTAATCACTTAACAGTTTGTATATATTCTCTTTCAGCCTGTACAGATTCATATATATATATATGAATATATATATATATATATATACACACATATATGAATCTGTTATATATATATTAGTTTTTTTAATGTAAATGGTATATGATACATATTGCTTACAATGAATTATTGTTGCTTTCATTTAACAATGTATCTTATACAACATTTCATGATGGCACATTATAGCTAGAGCTACCTCATTCTAAAATAATCCATTGTAAGAATATCCCATATTTTGCATAATCAGTCAAAACTGTAATGGTTAGTCCCCGAGTCAGTAGCAAAGACTGTAGACTAATATCAATTGTAATAGTGGAATTTGGAAATCCCAGCTGCCCAAAGTTCTTCCTCTTATTTGGAAAGCCCCACATCTAAGTAGCATTAAAGTTGTTTGTTTGGTTTTTTTTAAATGTTTCATACCATTTCTCTCCTTTAATGATTTAACCATGTGGTACATAATAAGTTTAGTTTCTTATCAACTCTTTCTTTCTTTGTGGCTTTAGCATGGTGTATTGTATTTGTGTGGATTTAAAGTCCTGGCTCCTCAGATCAGTTCTGCTCCTAATTTTACATCCGAAGAAGAAAAAAACGGGATGGTGGCATCCTGGGCCCAGAGGCTGAAAACCATCTGGACAGAAGAGCCCATTAAGCCACGCTGTACCTTGAAGCTTTTGTAACACTTTGTGCTATATACATAACATATGAGCAACACACTAGAGACACAAACACATGCAATGAGAAGATGGTGCTATAATAAAATAAAATTACAAAAACATTAACTGGATATGTTTTAAGATGTGCATGGATGAGTATCTTCAGGATTCTATATAGCCAGATCAAATCAGATAAAATATTGCAGTTATAAGCTTGTTTTCTTGGATTCTGTTCTAACTGATAATCATTACTTACCAGCCTTCATTTTCTTTAATATCTGTCTAACATCTTTTTTTTATTTTTATTTTTATTTTTTTTATTAGGATTTGGGTGAAGATTTACAGAGTAAATTCACTTTTCATACAGCAGTTCACATATACTTTGTCTCATGTCATTGACCAAAATTTACAATGCAGCAGCTCCCCTCCCACTTCCTCCCCACAGTTACCTCCTCCCAGTGTCCATCCCTTCATACTCTTCTGCACCCTGAGCTATCTCCCTGTGCATAAGCAGCCCTTCCTTCTCCCATGATTGTTCTCTCCAGGGCGTGTGTCTACTTGAGGTAAATGTTTAACTCACATGCCTGTACTTTGTTTGGCTGGAAACCACAGTTGTGGGTTCAGTTCCAGACCTGAAGGGCAGCTAGGGGCCATAGTCTCAGTGGTTACACCAGGCTCTACTGGACCAGCAAACCTGGTCCCCACCTTCTTTTTTTTTTTTCCTGTCTAACATCTTTCCATTTTCCTATTCTCAATATTTTCTTTATTTTTTAAATGAACTAAAAAAAAAAAAAAAACCAAACTCACCTCACTGCCATCGAGTCGATTCTAAGTTACTGCAACTCCCTTTGGGTTTTCAAGGCAGTAAATCTTTACAGAAGTAGATTGCCCTGTCTACCTTCCACAGAGTGGCTGGTGGGTTTGAACCACCAATCTTCTGGTTAGCAGTCAAATGCCTTAGGCACTATGCTACCAGAGCACCTTTCTTTTTTTAATAGGAAAATTTAATTCCCTCGTAGCCATTGTTTTTGTGCTGTTTGGACTTAATCCATCTTTCTTTTTTTACTTGCACTAAGACTATGAAGCCACCAGTCATATGTCATTTTTTGTTGCTGTGATGCTGGAAGCTATGCCATTAGTATTTCAAATACTAGCGGGGTCACCCATGGTGGACAGGTTTAAGCAAAGCATCCAAACCAAGACAAATTGGAAAGAAGGATCAGGCTAAGTCTAACTCCTGAAAAAATTGGCCACTGAAAACATCATGAATAGCAGGAAAAACATTGTCTGATATAATGCCAGAAGATGAGCCCCTCAGGTTGGGGGCATTCAAAATACAATTAAGGAAGAGCTGCCTCCTCAAAATAGTCAACCTTAATGATGTGAATGGACTAAAGCTTTCAGGACCTTAATTTGCTGATGTGGCACAACTCTAAATGAGAAGAAACAACTGCAAACCTTCATTAAAAATCAGAATGTGGAATGTACAAAGTATGAATCTGGGAATATTATAAGCTGTCAAAGATGAACCAGAATGCATAAAGATTGATATCCAAAGCATTAGTGAACTGAAATGGACTGTATTGGCCATTTTGAATCAGATAATCATATGGTCTATGCCGGGAATGACAAATTAGAGAGGAATGGTGGCACATGCATCATCAAAAAGAACATTTCAAGATCTATCCTGAAGTACAATGCTGTCAATCATAGGATAATATCTATATACCTACAAGGAAGACCAATTAATATGACCATTATTCAAATTTACCTACCAGTCACTAAAGTCATAGATGAAGAAATTAATGATTTTTGCCAGCTTCGGCAGTCTGAAATTGACCAACATGCAATCAAGATGTTTTGATTGAAATGTGAAAATTGAAGAAAAAAGAAGGATAAATAAATAATAATAATAAAAAAAACCTCACTGATGTCAAGTCGAATTTGACTCATAGTGACCCCTCCTTGGGTTTCTGAGGTGTTATTTCTATGGAAGTAGATTGCCCAGTCTTCCTTCCCAGGAGTGGCTGGTGGTTTTAAACTACCAGCCTTCTGGTTAGCAGTCAAATGCCTTAGGCACTATGCCATCAGAGCCCTCAAAAGAAGGCTCAGTAGTTGGAAAATACAACATTACTGATAAAAATTATGCAGGAGATCACATGATAGAATTTTACACAACCTATGACTTACACTCATTGCAACTACCTTCTTTAAACAGCATAAACAGAGACTATACACATGGACCTCACCAGATGGAATACACAGGAATCAAATTGACTATATCTGTGGAAAGAAATGATAGAAAAGCTCAGTATCATTAGTCAGAAGAACGCCAGGGCTGACTGTGGAACAGACCATCAGTTGCTCATTTGCAAGTTTAAATTGATGCTGAAAAAAATTAAAACAAGTCCACGAGAGCCAAAATACAACTTTGAGTATATCCCACCTGAGTTTAGAGACCATCTGAATACATTTGATGCATTGAACACCAATAACCAAAGACCATACAAGTTGTGGGACGACATCAAGAACAGCAGACATGAAAAAAGAAAAAGGTCATTAAAAAGACAGGAAAGAAAGAAAAGACCAAAATGGATGCCAGAAAAGACTGACACTTGTTCTTGAATGGACGGTAGCTAGAGCAAATGGAAGAAATGATGAAGTAAAATATCCGAAAAGAAGATTTCAACGGGCAGCTCAAAAAGACAAAGTGAAGTGTTGTAATGAAATGTGCAAAGACCTAGAGTTAGAAAATCAAAATAGAAGAACACACTCAGCATTCATCAAGCTGAAAGAACTGAAGAAAAAAATCAAGCCTCAAGTTACAATATTGAAGTATTCTGCTCTGGTGGCACAGTGCCTAAGACATTTGACTGCTCACCAGAAGGTTGGCAGCCCAAACCCACCAGCCACTCCATGGAAGGAAGATGGGATGATCTACTTCCATAAAGATTTACCACTTCAGAAACCTAATGAGTGTCACTAAGAGCTGGAATTGACTAAATGGCAGTGGCTTTGGTTGTTTTTGAGTATGGGCAAAATATTAGATGATGCAGGAAGCATCAGAAGAGGATACAAAGAATATACAGAGTCATTGTACCAAATAGAATTAGTCAACATTCAATCATTTCAGGAGGTAGCATATATGAAGAACTTATGGTATTGCAGGAAGAAATCCAAGCTGCACTGAAGGAATTGGTGAAAAACAGGGCTTCCGTAATTGACAGACTACCCGTTGAGATGTTTCAGCAAATGGATGCAACACTAGAAGTGCTCATTTGTTTATGCTAAGAAATTTGGAAGATAGTTACCCAGTCAACTGACTTTGTGCCCATTTCAAAGAAAGGTGATCCAGCAGAATGTGGAAATTATCCAACATCACTAATATCATATAAAAGTAAAATTATGAAATTAATTTTAAAATTTTTTAAATTATGAAAATAATAATAAAAAGTAAAATTTTGAAAATAATTCGAAAATTGTTGCACCTGTACATTGATAGGGAATGGACAGAAATTCAAGCCAGATTCAGAAGAGGACATGGAATGAAGGATATCGTTGTTGATGTCAAATGGATCTTGGCTGAAAGCAAAGGATACCAGAAAATGTTTACCTGTGTTTTATTGACTATGCAAAGACATTCAACTCTGTGCATCATAACAAATTATGGATAACATTGCAGAGAATGGGATTCCAAGAACACTTAATTGTGCTCATGATAAATCTGTACATAGACAAAGAGGCAACCATTCAGATAGAACAAGAGGATACTGTATGGTTTAAAATCAAGAAAGGTCTGCATCTGGGTGGTGTCTTTTCACCATACATATTTAATATGTATGCTGAGCAAGTAATCCAAGAAGCTGGGCTATATGAAGAAGAATGTGGCATCAGGACTGGAGGAAGACTCATTAACAACCTGTGATATATAGGTGGCACAACTTTACTTGCTGAAAGTGAGGAGGACTTGAAGCACTTACTGATGAATATCAAGGACTGCAGCCTTCAGTAAGGATTGCACCACAACATAAGGAAAACAAAATTCCTTACAACTGGACCAATAAGCAACATCATCATAAATGGAGAAAAGATTAAAGTCAGCAGGGTTTTAATTTTCCTTAGCTCCACAATAAACAGCCATGGAAGCAGCAGTCAAGAAATCAAATGACATGTTGCATTTGGCAAATCTGCTGCAAAAGACCTCTTTAAAGTGTTAAAGAGCAAAAATATCACCATGAAGACTAAGGTGTGCCTGACCCAAGCCCTTGTATTTTCAGTGACCTCACATGCATGTGTAAGCTGGACAATGAATAGGGAGGACTGCAGAAAAATTGATGCACTTGAATTATGGTGTTGGGGAAGAATATTGAATGTACCATGGACTGCTAGAAGAACAAAAATAATCTGTCTTTGAAGTACAGCTGGAATGGTCCTTAGAAGCAAGGATGGCCAGACATCACTCTTGTACTCTGGACATGTTCCTGTAGAAGGACAACAGGTTTGGTAAAGTAAATGGTCAGCAAAAAAGAGGAAGGCCTTCAACAAAATGGGTTGACACAGTGGATGCTACAGTGGGTTCAAGCATAGCAACAATTGTGAGAAAGGCACGGAACTAATCAGTGTTTCATTCTGTTGTACATGAGGTTGCTATGATTTGAAACTGACTTGATGGCACCTAACAACAACAACAATTACCCAATAGAAAAATAATTAAGTATAGCTCTATGCATCAACATGTATACATTTCAGGTTCATAAAATTGAGTGAAAGGAAAAACCAAAGAAGTTTATGAACATGAAAAACTAGACAGCCATTAGAGGATACATATTCATGTGGCAAAAGGATAACAAATGCCCTTAATTGTAATGTAATGGGAAGGGACAGGCAGGTTTTTAAAGATTGTTGTGTTGTTGTTAGGTGCCATCGAGTCATTTCTGACTCATAGCGACCTGTGCACAGCAGAACGAAATACCACCCGATCCTGCGTCAGCTCTATGATCCCTGCTATACTTGAGCCCATCATC